ATATGTGACTTGTGTCTGTAATTTATTTGTAACTATAAAATAATGATAAGGTTTGCAAAGTTAATGTTTTTGTGAGGAAGAAGGAAGGTGTTTTAGGATTCCTAACAAAAACTAGACAATCACAGCATTCCTTCTTTTCCTTTCCCAAAGAAAAGGAAGGAGAATGCTAAATCTAATATTACAGTAATCCCATATTGACTAGAAAGTTGTTCAATATTCAACCATGATAACGTGATGTCACACTTGGTCAAAGTTAGCAGAATTGAAGCATCCGCCACTTTTCGTCCGAACATGAGATTCCTGTAATCATTTCTAAATAAATTATTTATTATCTATTACTTATAGTAAAATTTCCGCACAGCCCTATACTACATTATGCATTCAGTTCTTGGATAGAGGAAAACAATACATTGCCATTGGGAAAACAGATCTGTTTTACAATAGTATGAGGCGGTGCGGAAATTTTACTTTACTTGTCAGCAGAAACACTTTTGCGCTAAAAATTGTTTGAAGTTTGGTACCGAAATAAAATTTCATTGGAACCTTTCCTCGTTAGTTATGAAGTGTTACATAACTCGTGATCACATATCGACGAGGAAACGAGAGGTGAGATCAGCCCAGTAGATCCTTAGCCCTTAGCCATCCAATCTTAAGCTTATAATAACCATTCCCAGCCCATAAAAATACAATCTCTAGGATAAACATCAAAATACGATACATTAATTTTTTTCTCTTTCGCTTTTTTAGCTGTAGATGTAGATCACAATATTATCCCAAAGATCAAATTGACTGCGACAAAAACGGAATAAAAATAGCAAACTCACCCATCTGTGTAATAAACCGTTCCATTCATGGAATAATCTCCTTTGCTAAAAGAAATCCTAGCGAAAAGTAAAAGGAAACTAACGAAAGCTTTCCACACAGCGACTTTCGCCATTTTTCAGTTCCTCACGATTGCGTGACTGATTGTCTCATGCGGCAATCACGAGGTCAGTCGTCACTTGGATCGGACCGGATCGGATTACGGACCAGATCACGGATCAGATCATGGATCGGCTCATGGATCGGATCATGTCACATAAAATTAGAAATTTTGTGCGACAAGCCAAAATAAAGTTTCCGTGACATAATGGAGCGCAGGCCCCACTTGGAAAGTTTTTTTGGCCCAAAAACCCCATGTAGTCACTGTCTTTCACGGCTGTGTCGAGGAGTGTTGAGTAGTGCCACCATGAACAAAGGCAAGCGAGAGGTACGTATCATTCTTCAATCAGGAGGAGGGCACTGGGATTTTCAGTCGGCTAAACTTCAGAATACCCCGCAACTTTGGTCCGCCTCACTTACATGTGTCGGGAGGCTTTGAAGATCGAGGCATAACACAATAGACGCTATTCTTATTCAATGACATGTAAATGAGTTGCGGGGTATTCTGAAGTTGCTCCTTTCGGTCTTAATTTGGCTGTTTTAAATTCGGTTTCTGTGCAAAAAAAGTTCGGTTTTTCGGTTTGGCTGTTTATTTCGGTTTGGCTGTTTATTTCGGTTTGCCTTGACAGAGACATACGGTTTTCTCGTACTCAGACCTCTGCGGTTTCTGAGCACGATAAAGAAACGGGGCATATTCCTATTTGGAGTAAGGTTAAGATTATTGATCGTGACCCCCACTGATACACAAGTAGGGTCAAAGAGGCTATCCATATAAGACTTCATCCTAACAAAATCAATAGGGATAGCGGAATCGACATTCCCGAAGCTTGGATACCCACGATCAAACAACACAACAGCCGATTTATGAGGACCTATGAGGGAACACCATCTAACAACCGGAATAATGATGAGTAACGAAATGCACCGATAGCAACGTACCAACGTGCTACAAATAGTGACACGTAAACAATCGATCTCACCGCCTGATGAAGATTTGCAGTGTTGCAGTCGAAGCGTCGCGATCAACGTCAAAAGTGACTCTATTGTGAGACAAACGAACAAAGTTCATCTCCTAGAGTTATACCTATTAGTGGAAAAATCAGATTCTCTCAAATCGTACCTGGGGTTATGTTCATTAAAAAAATATAGCAAATACTTCTTAACCTTTAACTGTACACATTAGGATACAAATTTCCTGCAAATGTCTCTTCATCACGGTTAGCAGCTTGGCCCTGAATAATTAGCTTCCTTTTCATTGTGAATCATCTTGTGGAAAACGGTACTCATGAATATGTGGGGTGGGGCAGGCGTGAATACAAATCTTCTGCAACACTACCTGTAAGCGCCATTATACAACCTTTATTTTAGTTCAATGCTATGAAAAATTGTGCTATATTAGTAGCCACTAGAGGTCTCAGGCTGCCTATTTTTTTAAAATACCCCTATTCTGTCAAACTTTATCAAGCGGTCATTCACCGTGGGTGACACGCCTAATACAGGTTCAACTAGCAACTGTACACGAAAGGTGTTTTTTGGGTAAATTAAACAAAACCTATCTTTCTCTCTTTCTTACCGAGCTCAAAACTTACTATCTTTCGTATTATATCCACAAAACATGACGATATCGACATTGCTGACCTAGCAGTATGCAGGACGCGTGTCAAATATAAACTTCGGATGGGCCCGCTCACCACTGTCTCTGTGGCTCAGTGGTTGACTGGTCAGAGCGCGGAATTAGACGAAAGGTTCAATTTCTCATGAGGACTCCCTTGTCCTTCCTTTGTCCCACGTTCGTGACAAGACGAAAAAACATCTTCCTATATTTCCCTACCGAGCTCAAAACTTACCATCTTCCATATTCTATTTATTAACCCTTTAATCCCTAAGTGACCAGCATCCAATTTCTCCTTTCAATGTCACCCATGAATCAAACATCAAAGTCATGAGAATAAAGGGGAATGATAATTAACTGAAGAACCTCTGGATTGTTCAACGAATTCTCTTTGCAAGCACATTAGGAAATGTATAGAGACCAGTATGGAGAATATGCATACTGATGTTATGGTGTAAAGGGTTAAACAAAACCATTTGCAGTTTGCTTACGCAAGTGTTAAAGAGGATGAAACTTAACCAGAGTACAAGTCCCGTTTGGCCAGAACCAGTAGTGTCAGTTCCCATCAGAACCAGCCTGCTTCATACATGGACAATACAGTCTATCAACCGGTTTTAAAGAGAGGTCGTACTCCATCTTAAGGAAAAAATAAAAGGGAACGACGAAAATACGCCTATCATCTCCAAAGTGATTTAATCAACCATCCAGGCGCTGCGAAGACAAACTTGAGTCACGCGCGTGTCCCGCAAGAGAAGCGAGCTCCTCACCCTTCAACACTCCTGCCCTTGGCAGAAAGTTAATGAACGATGATGTTAAGTGAAAACATGGGATATTCCTCTGGAAGTTTGCCTATGCGGCTTCCATCGATCCTTCCTTTTTGCTGTGTTAGCAGGTTTCCAAAACATTACAGCACCAACAAAAACACAAACGAGAAGCATTTTTACAAACGTGCTACTAACACCAACTGTAACAATTTTGTTCAAGGCTAAAAATACACTACATTCTCCACGTTTTATGAGTGAATTTAATGTTAACGCTTAGAAATTAAATTACAGATAATTTATTACGATGGTTGTCAACTTCTCGCAAAGAATCCTTTTCGGTGAACGACGGAAAGGTCGAAGGTCTTCGAAAGTTTCCCGAGTCTAAGCCGATCTATCACTTCGCCGTTACCGAGCTCCTCTCGCAATCTTCGAACATTTAAAATATTTGTCGCTCTAATAAAGGTATTCAGTGCAACGAAGATTGATTCCAATGTAAAAGTCTTACTTTGAACTCTCAGGGCCAGTGAATAAAAATATGTAGAGCACTTTCACACTCTCTATTTTAGCTAAACTAAAAAAATTATAGCTTCAGTGTTTTCTTAAATTTAAACCATAAATATTCAAATGAGGTGCGAAAAGGCGATAAAGGTTACTGTGGAAACTAAATGCTACTAAAACACGCTACATAAATACGTGGGATGCCTGTGACTGACCGCGTTCAACATTCGCTCGAGTGTCGTCGTAGTCAGTTGCCTTACTGGCTGAGTTCCCTACTTGGATGGGTTATTTCTTCCTCTTCTCGATTTCATTCCTGTACTTTGAAGAGTCGGCATTAAATTTATTATTTTCCACGTAAAACCAGAGTAACCGTACTTATCAACATCAAATTGCACTCGAAAATACTCAACAGGACGCAAATGGACAGAAATTACGTTCATAAACTGTGCTTTGGAAAAATTTGTTGGAAAACTTTTCCAGGTAACCACAGACTCAAACAAACGTAGTTAGTTGAGTTGATAGTATCGAACATTTTACCAGGCAGAGACAACGAATTCCTGTACAATTCTTACAAGGCTCATCGCTGTTTCTTCCTGCCTCGTGTTTCCTTATCATACAAGTTTAAATAAGTCCTAATTCTTCAGTAATCAATTCTAAAACAATATTGCGCGATACGACAGCAAACAAATGGTGTGTTTGACATTTATAGATTGAAAGAGAAAAGGTGTATCAAATTTCCATATCTATGAAACCGAAATGGAAGGCGATCGACATCACGTCCCTTGCTTGCTTTAAATGGGATGTCTACAATAACCGAAGGAAATTAGGGTAACGCAATGCCTCACATGAGCTTCATCACGTCACTAACCCCCCATCCATGGACGATGAAAATGTTTCTTTTGAGACTACAGGACACATTACTTAGCACTAACCTAAGCACGTAAGTTGTCCTAAATGATTGCAATGCTTTTTCTATAATAAGATCAAAGAAAAGTAACTAGAATATTTCTATGAGATTCGCTTAATAGACAGCAATTATCCTGCTACTTGTGAATGCCGTGCGATATTTAATTGGGAAAGAAGCTACGCCACAATAAAAAAATCTCAAAAATTGGCTTATTCATAACTAAAAATGGCGTTATTTGCAATTCGTGTCAACCTTCTCCATCGTAAGCCATCCTTATTCCTTCTTGGTATAATATCGCTTCCTTTGCGTTTTTTCAAACCTACAGAGCTAATATTTTATAGCCTTCTGAAATATGAAGGTGGGTTTTGCACGGCGCAAAAACTAAACACAGTGACGTAGCTTCTTTAGTTTACTGCTCCTTCAACTACTTGATTTGTATTGACGGTGGAATAGCGGTGAAGACAAGAGGTTCAATTCTATGATGATTGAATTTCATGTGACTGCATAACAGCATGTCTTATGTGTCGAGTTTCATGTTTACTGGAAGTCGCCGACGAGTGCGTCTTTCCCAGGCTCCAGGTGAACAGACTCAAAATATTCATCGTCTTCGTCATCAAATGTAACCTTCTCCTAGGATTAAACACATCACTAAGTACATTGTGCTCAAACAGTATGTTGTGGTATGCAGCTCGAGACGCTCTAGGGCCTGGGACTATCTTATTCCAGCAGTACCGTGAGGGCCTCGGGGCCTCTTTCACCCAGTATCCCACGCGCGATATGAAGACGTGCGCCAGGAAAAAATAGGTCTAAGGCGCGAGGAGGATGCTTGTTGATAACCTTCCCCGGGAAAATTTTGTAGAAAAATAAACGACATCTGTTGAACTGTTGTAGTTACTGAAAAATTAAACGACTATTACAAAAAAAAAATTCGCGTAGGCGGACGGCTTTGAAACGAAGGAAAAACCAAAGCACGAACTGGAAAAAAAAACTTTCCTCCTTTTTCTTTCTAATATTTTCCAGGAATTCTACAGGAGTAAAAGAGAGTGCATGAAAACAAAAAAATCCTACCTTCTTCTTTCCACCACTGGCCATGTCCTTTATTTTCTTCAGAATCTTCTTACCGCGGTCCTTACCGACTTTAAAGTGAACCTAAGTAAAGAGGAAAAAAACCTAAATTAAAACAATGTCATTACGAGCAGTATAATAGGAATGCTCTTTAAGTTAAATCTCGCTTCCCGAGGTGTGATTCATATCGCCCGAGCCTTTCCGAAGATTACTGATAACTCACACGGAAACCACCCAAAGATGGCTGCTACGGACTTAACATTACACATAAAAGGCAGTCTATGACTGCATGTGCCCATTGTTGTATAGTTGTGGAGTATTGAAGTAAAAAGCAATGTGGGGAAATATGCAGCTCTAGGGGTTAATGAGCAGCTCTTGTCCGTCGATGCCAAAATTGCGAAGGTTTACGGACTTCCACGAAAGAATCGGCACAAAAAGTTTCTAACGAGAATAAACGAAATGAACAAATAACGTGCACACACCCGAGCATTATTCAAGAACTCTTGAAAGAAAATAATCTAAGGCTGTAACTGCCACTGGCGACTAATACTAACTAATTCTAGCGCAATTTTTAACGCGGAACGAAACGACACGGTACGGTTAAAATTGCAAATAAAACAGCGAACGAAAACTATTACAATATAAACTAGACTAAATACACAAGGAAAGCTACAACGAAAACAACGAGGAAAACTACACGATACAAAACTTACATTTGTTGCGATGTTATAGGTACAAATATACCGAACTACACTCGACGAAACTACACTGCAAAAACTGCACCAAACTACGATGAACAATACGGTTGAATACATGCTACGTTACGCAACGTTACGCAATGACACAAAGAAAGCGCACACAAAATTTTACTACAATTAGCACTCTTGCACAAGAACAATAAACAAACGAAAAAGAATGTAAGGCGTTGCGGTCTACAAAGGCAAATTACCTCTTCTTCGTCCTCTTCGTCGTCGTCCACCACACATCTCTCCACACCTGGCAACTCACCAGAATTATCACCACTCTTATTTACCAGGCGATGATACTTGTATGTCAGCCTGCCACAAAGAAAACGACAACCGTAAACCACACTTACGTTTCATGGCATAAATGCCAATTATGGGTAGCGTGATCCACACAGCCACGCAGGTATCTGCAGCCTAAAGCTTCCTGAACTGTTTCTTCTTACTTAGCGGGATTTCTAGTTCACCTTTTTAACTCTTCGCCCACTCCTACCCCTGGCAGATTGACTCTTTGGTCGAATAAGGAGAAACAGTGAGAGAAAAGATTCAACCCAAAGAACACAACACAATAACCAGAAAAAAGCTGGAAACCTGGCAACTCAACCCGAAAACTAACCGGAAAAGGCCAAATGCACCAACAAGCATTAACAAAGAGAATGCTGATTTACGTACTTTCGGTTATTGTACCACAAGCCAAAGACTGCGCAGATCATCAGCACAACAAGAGCAGCAACAACAGCAATCACAATCTGAACAAAAAAAAAACAAAAAACAATCATGGTATACGTAGTAACACGCCTGTCATCGTTATAAGAAAGAAAAAAAAAGACGTTTGCTATGAACCGCAAGAATGACTAACTAATTGACCGCAAGGTTGGCGGACAGACATATCGACCGATTACATAGCTTGGTTTTAACAACTGAGTTGAAAATGTAAATTGGCCACCGTAAAGAGTTTCTCAGCTGACGTTTCGAGTGTTGGCCCGTCGTCAGAGCGGTTTCGCTCTTTACGATGGCCATTTTACGTTATCAACTCGGTTGAAAAAACCAAATTGTCTTTTTATACCCCCCCCCCCCCCCCCCCCCCAACCTACGCAACACTACAGTTTATTTCGAAACTTACCCCGTTTTTATCAATTGACTGATAAACCGACCGTCTGACTTACTGACTAGCTGACTGGTTAACTCTCTGAATGAATATCAGGCCGTCTGACAGACTAACAGACTAACTGACAGACGGACTGACCGGCCAGCCTAGCGAACGTTGCTTATACCTTGAAGTCCCTCATAGCTGAGCCAACTGATTGTTCAAAAATACTGCATTTGGTTTCTCGTTCTGCAGGTAAGGGAACACCTCCTTGGCAAACTCTGAAATGATCAACAAAACCACACATCAACACCGCATGATTAACATTCTGAGCCTTAAGGCACAAAACCACCTCAAAACCATAAAGATAGCGGCCTATTACCTTGGTTCTTTCCACATGTATGTAGTCTTCTTCTTTCCACTCTAAATGCAAAATATTTAATTATTAGTTTACTTACTGAAATGGATAAAAATAAAGTCAGTTATTTAAAACAATTCTTTTCGTTGGCTTGTTATCCTAAAAAGATACACAATCGACTATCCTGGGAAGCTTGCCCGACAAACTTAAAGTGTAACAGCGCGGTTGGATTGAAATAGACGCGCCCATTTCGCGTCCAAACCGCGGCTCAAGACTGAAAGACGCCCCCTTCCTCCACCAGAACCTCAGACCCTTGATATACCCCGTTTTTCCAGTTTCTAAAAGCTTTCTTTATTTTGCCTTAAACCATGCTACCATAGATCTGGAGAAAAGCTTTCAAGTAGATAATTGTGATAATATCATACGAACTTCAAACCTACCTCACAAGAGGAAATTACTTTGCGGTAATCAAATTGCGAACAGGTTGGACACGCATGAGGCGTGCGCCACAGGATCTCAAACCTATGAACGAGAGCGTAACATGTTAACCACAGACATACCAATGCACTCATCAAACGTTACTCGCAGTCCAAAGACTGTTAATGGGATTCTATTCTATTTGTTTGTAATAAATCACTTACCGGCAGCCATCACAGGTACCATCCGGGCATTTGGAGGGCAACTCAAACGAACCCTATAACGAAACCAAAGGTTTGTAGTAATTATTCCTTGGGGGGAGGGGGGGAGTTCGGTTTACCTTAATATGCAATATATCAATATACTTTTGTACACTTCTGTGAAATATCCGCAAAAATCACATAGTACACGCAGCACTGTAAACAGTCATAAGGCCGTTTGGTCTCACTGTTTGTGGATCATGCTCAGAAGAAGTCAAAGTTTTTTCGCAATCAAGTGCGCTTTGTACTGTAATAAATGGAGTCGAACCTCGAATGCTCAATACAAGATACTCAATGTTTGAAGCTTCCAAGAAGCAAGGTTGGAGATTCGAGAGGCGTCAAGATCTTCTCAATCTCATTAGACCACTCTTTTGTCACAACTCTAATAAGAGAAGACACCATTCGAGGGAAATCACTAAATTAAGCCTCAGTCGACAAACAACTCTATAAACGTACCTTTCCTACTTTAGGATCACACAGCACTGTTGTCCAAACTGACCGGCCATTAGGGCAGGCTTGAGTGGGTCTGAAATACGTTAATTTAAAAAGCTGTGTCATAACCTGTCCATCTCAAGAAATTTAGCCTCAGTTTTACAAGCTCGTCATCAGCCATCTTTTTAAATCTTCTGTATCCTAAGCTCTCTCATTCCGTCTTAATTTACAGTCACCTCTTGTTTTAATTTCTAACTTGCCAAACAAATATTTTGTACAGTTTTAAGCAATTTGTAAAGTTTACAAAAGAAAAAAGGTAGTAACGTATCAAGTTATTTTTACACATTCAGTACAAAAACGGTAACAGCTTATAGGAAATTATAGTCAGACAAAAGTTGAGAGTCTCGGGCAAAGACTGACTTCTGGCTACGTTTTGTTTTATTTTTGGCAAAAAGTAAAAGCAACAAGACGCTGACGTTCTCCTGGTTCACATTCTGCTTTCTCAGTTAAAAAAAAAGGTGCAAACTCCAAATTTCGTTTAACTTCCTTACTACTGTTTATCCAAATTGTATAACCTTGTACACAATTAGAAACATTCGATAGTGATAGAATATGAAAACAAGCGAGGCATATATCACTTACTTGTCACCGTGGAACTTGAACAAGAAAAAGGTTGAGGTGTTTTTCACTGGACCGGAAATACAAGAAAAGGCATAAATGAGCAAAATTTATTACTGATACCGTTACTTTCAATTTCACTACCACTGCCACTATCACTGATACTAGTGTACGACTATCAAAATTACTAGACTACTCGCTGATCATTGTCGTCATACCTTCTTTTCCAGCGAATACTGAAGTTTCGTTGGTCTTATTGTCGGCAATGTCTTCATAAATGCCTTCAAGGCGGTCTGCAATGCTGAAATATAAGAAAAAAAACCATTGATAATTTTTTTTTGGTAGAAGATGAGTAAAGTTAAAATTTATCCCGTTTGAATTCAACTAGAGTGGGATGTCATGTATGTATGTAAGAGGGGAGGGGGGGGGGGGGAAATTTGAGTGAGGGTTGGTTGAAATTCCATAAGTTTAACTCTTTATTTTCTGAAGTAAACCGTAAACAAGATCTCTCGAATTTGCCAACAACTCAGCTACAGACGGCATGGATTGTTGAAAAGCCAACGTTCAATACGAGCGTTGTATTCTTTGTAGAAGAAGTAACTCGTAATTCTCTCACCTTAATGTCTGTGTAGTCATCAGAACTGGGTCAGGAACAACGGTCATGCGGCAAACAGGTGAAGTCAAATTATAGGCTTCCTGTTAAGATTGATAAAAAGAACTCTCAGCGGTCTTCTAACCCTTTGACCCGCAAGGGTGACTGGCTTCTCATTTCTTCGTGAAATATCACCCTTGAATCAAAAATTTGGGTCGTAAGAATAAAAGAAATGATCACCAATTAATGAAGCTCTTATTTGTGAAACAAATTCTCCTCATCAGCACCTTGGGAAATTTATAGAGAACTGTATGGAGAATATGCATACTGATATTTGGGTGTAAAGGGTTTAGGTTGGTACACATGGTCCACAGGTTACAGCTTCGTGTGACACGAAAATCAACTCGAAAAATCCTTGCAACAGAATTTTGTCTTCAATACAAGTTGTAAAAATCCAACCTAGTTTGCAGTGGGGCACATGACTGCAAAGATAAAACGAATTAATTTGACTTGAAGAAGTTAATTACGGGGACATATTACAGAATCTTGCCGAGAGGATTACGTCAAGATCGAGTGCCAAATTCTCGTAGGCTCTTCGTGAGAAATGTATGGGAGAACTACGAATCCGATCTAGGGATGACACTCACTGATTTGCCAGTGGAAAGACTGATGTTATTGTGACACTTTGCCATTTTGTATGGATGTCCACACAAATTCATGTTGAAGAGGTGATAGTACCGGAAGCCACGCTTGGTGAACGAAGGACCAGTGGCAACGCTCTGAGGTCTATGAATAAAGTAAAAGAGAATTAGAGTCTGTAAAGGCACCTTGTTGTATTATTGTAGTTAGTTCACAGGTACTATGTGGAAATAATCACAAACGGAACTACGTTAACCATACAACATCATGATCCAAGTCACCCATTACTGCTGCAGGTTGTCCTAGCTTCTGGAGCGTGAGGTGAACAGGATCATTACTACCCACACCTCCCCCCAAAGTCCATCAGGTTTGCCTGATAGTTTACTGGCACTCAAAAACACTCCTGGGCCGAGAGAGACGCTGTGAGAAGAAAAGCTTCTTGTCTAAGAACACAACACAATGGCTCACCCTGGATTGACACTAAACCTTACGTTTAGCACACTCACAATCACACTACTTTTACTCCTTACCACTTCGGAAAGCAACAATTTTTGTCAAAAATATATATTCCGTCATTTACACATCCTTAAAATAGACTAATTAATAACTGAGCAAGATTTGTTTGTTTCTACAGTGTACATACCCTTGGAGACCAGTAAAGTTAAATTGTCGCATATGCTTGATGGAGGTATAGAAACAGTCAGAATGACACATGGTGGATCCCGCCTCACTAAAAATGAAACACAACAAAAATGAAGTCCAATTCTAGTACAAAGCAAAATTAAGGTTCCTGCTCTTTCAAGATTCAAGTTACTCACTAAGCTAGCCTGTTGCTTTTATGATAAATAATGGACAGGCAAAAATACTAGTTAATCTTTAGCACCTGGTTAAACCTGGTCCACATTTGACACAAGCTTTAGATCCATATGGGTCATTGGTGTTCAAATAGGTGCCTGTTGACAAAAAAGAGAGCATCTGAGTAGAAAGTTCAGGCCCCTTTTCCACTGCAAAAGCAGAATCCTAAATGATTTGACAAAGCACATGAAAAAAGTCATTCTTTTCCATGCACAAAAAAAAAAAATACCTATAGGGCATGGCACACATTTGTGCTTCTCAGTATCCACATAGTTACCCTTGGGACAGCTTATACATCTGAGAAAAAAAAGAGAGAGAACAGAGACAAAGCATGATGCATCAGTCATAACAGTGAAGTGCATTGCAGGATTGAATGTTGTTTACCACTAAAAGCCACCCATTGAATTTCAAAAACAACCCTTTATAGTTTGCCACAAAAAACATATTGCTATCAAAACATTTTGCAATGATAGGATGGGTCAAATGCCAAGCTTGGGATTTTGAGTATGAGAGTTTCTAAAAACCCCACAGGCTAATGTACTGTAGTTAACACTTGTGTGAGCTGTGTCACAGACTTAAGGCACAACTTTAGAGGTCTCACTACAGAAGGGCATTACATACCCACTCCCTGAAGATACTGGACAGGATCGGCAATGATCAGCACCTCCATCGATGGTGTTGTTCACAGTAATGGAGTAAATCTTCACTCTGGAGGACAAGAGAATGTATAATTATATTGAGTCTTAAAACATTACAAGAATGACAAAACTTGAGCACTTGTCACATATTTGATAACCAGTCACATATGAATGTAGTAATGTTAACCAACAAGTTCCTTGTGGCTTTGTGGTAGAGCATTTCAGAGCAAGACACAAATGGTCTGAGGCTTGATTCCTCATGGGGACTCAGGTTTTTTTTCTTTTTCCCTTGCAATTGCAATGACACAGAAAAAACAACTTTCTCTATTGAGAAAATTAATAGCAGATCAAAAACTATACTTAGTCATAATAAAGGCCAGGACAAGACAGGAGATCAATAGCTAAGCTATAATATAGGCCAGGACACTATAATAGGCAGACCCTGGGTCAAAGATTCAAACCAATTTAATTGAGCCACCTGAGTTAAGGGCAAAGATTTTTATCTGTTTTGAAAAAAGTAATTGCTAATCAAAAATTATACATATTAAAGGCCAGGACACAAAAGGGGACAGATCCTTTGGAAAAAGGTCTGAAGTTGATTCCTCATAGGTAGCCAAACTCAAAAGTTTTTTATTTTTCCTGCATTTGTAGGGGTAGATCCCTGAGACAAAGACTCCAAACAGTTTAAAATTGAGCCATCTGAGATGGGGAAAAAGATTTTCATCAAAAATTCTCCACTTCATATAAAGCAAATTTTTACTGTGTCCAATACCCAAAACATATTGCCTATTTCTTATTTTTTCTACTCTTCATAACTACAGGTAAAAGTAATTACAAATAAAGAAACATACCGATCACCACCATAGGTGTAAGACAGTTGATCATCACTAAATGAGTAGGAACTCTGTTTTTGAAATGTCCAGATAAACTGAGTTTCCCTCGGTGAGGAAATGATGTAGCTAAAAAAAAAACAAAAGGAAAAAACCTTTAAAATTTTCACTCAGTTGTGGAATTATTTATCAACCTTTTGACTCCCTAGATCAGATAGTAATTCTCCCCTTCAGTTATCACACACTTCCTTGTAACTTAGTTTACAAAGACTTGGTCATGTAATTATTTATTAAAAGTGCATCAATGGAAACAATCATCATAATCAATGCTGGTAAAAATCAAAATAACTTAAATGAAATTTCTTTTGTTACCTGTACTTCTGCTTTCCATTTCTCCCTTTCCATGTTTGAATCACATTTGTAGTTTTAGACTGTGGCTTCTAGAAATTGCATGTGTGAAAGACAAAATGTAAAGAATAAGTTAATTAAATGAGTTGAAACTTTGCTAGTTAATTAACCATTACAACCATAACTGACATCAATAACAACAATGGGAGTAATTAAACTAGGAGTTAAGCAGTAGACATTCCCAGAGGTGGCCCTCCTTGTCCACTGCCTTCAGATAAAATTGGAGTTTTACATCATAGTTTTTGTGGAGGTAGGAAAACCAGAGAATGCAGAGAATAAACCAACAAAGCAAAGATAAGAACCAACAACAAACTCAATGTCAACGCACAGTGCAAGAATTGAACCACTGCCACAGCAATGGGAGGCGAGCACTCTTGCCACTAGTCCATTATTGCTCCTACTCCCCAGACAAGAGTAAAATAAATTTGGGATTTTTTCTATTGTTTGTCATCAATAGAATCACCATTATCTCCATTATCAAACCATCTCAACATAACCATTATGGCCATCATCATCATTATCATCTAGTCATCACAACTTCTCTAAATAACAGCTATATCTCAAAGAATTAACTCTTGAGAAATATAGAAATTCAGGGTGAAGAGGAGTAAGTAGACATTCATGAACTCTTTCAACTAATATGAATTACCTCTTTGAATTTAAAAGTACACTCTCCATCACATATCAATTCAAAGACAAACTCCACAACACCAAACTGGCCACGTTTGGGATTTTTGAGACCCTCAGGACTTCCAAAGCCTTCTACAGGAAGTTTCAGTGTCATGTAGACATCATCTGCTTGATTGATACCACTGTCAAGGTAGTTTCCACGAGGCTGCCAGCCCTGCTTTGTGGTGCATCCACGATCTGAAAAAAGAAACAAGTAGTTGTTTGATAAAATAAGTACAGACAAGTCAGTAAAAAACCGCCATCACCCATTCCTCCCCTCAACTAACCCTCAACAACCAACAACCCAGACTAAATTAAACTTCCCTGCATACAGCAACAATTTGACTAAGTCATTTCAACTTTTGAAGTTTTCACAGAATTTAACTGCAAACATCAGCCACAACAAATTTTTTTGGGCAAAAATTGCCAAATGCACAGATAAGAACTTGAATATATTATTAAACATTTTTTGACAAACTGCTACACATTTGTAGGACAACTTGATAATCATGTAAACCAGCCTGAAGTGTCACACACCTGACATAGAGAAACAAGTGGCTCTTAAATTTTCTGGAACACTATGCCACCATGTGAGGTGATGCCCATAAACTGGCTCAGTGGACACTGGACACTTCTTACACTCTAAGCAAGACATAAAGAACTTTGTTAGTACTGTATAGAAACCTGTATGAGGAAAGGTGCATGTAATTTTCACAGTCCAAGGTTTACTCTCTACAGAAGATTTCTGCAAATAAGTAAAGTCTTTAATTAAGGTTGACTTCCACCCCCACAGAGGCTTATTCCCAGAATTCTGAAGGTTCTGTTTGTGTAGGAATACTGGTTCCTAGACAGGGAGCTATTCCACCATAGGTTATCCAATCACAGGTCACCCTTCCCACTCCCACCTCTGCAACAATTTGTGGATCAAAGCAACAAGAAAGCAGAGTGTTGTACCCAGGAACACAACACCATGGTCTAGCCAGGCCCAATCTGGACCTCTAAATTCAGAGTCTCACTAACCATCAAGCTAATGTATCAACCACCATGAGAAGCTCTAATACACAACAGATCTCACCTGCTTTGCCATCACTGAATTCATTGACAGGACAAAAGACACAAGAACTGCTTTCGCCTGTGCCGTTAAGATGCATTCCAGGGTTACAAGGAGGACAATCTTCCTTCACGCCAGATGCAGGCAACTTCTTAGCTCCATCCACATCATCTCTACAGATCTTTGGTTCTATCCACATATACTTCACTTGGGTCTGAGAAACAAGAGGATAAAAGGATATACATATCTCACGGAACGTTTAGGTGTGTAGTATTGCTGAGTATTTTTAAGAGTTTTGTCATATTTTGACAAGCCCGTGGGGCTAGTCAAAATACAAAGAACTACATTCTTTTCTGCTATGTCTTTCTGCTTGTTTCTCATAGTCGAGAAAAGCAAAGCAGATAGAGAAGCACAGTATGCGCAGCCAACTGGTTAAACAGGTTTTTTACAATACAAAATAACCAACTGTCCAAATAACCATGCAATATTGCAGGATATTTATACACTATTCACATGTTATTTGTACTCTACTTTGTGCAGTTAGATAATAATAACCTAATATTTATAAAACATAAACCCTGTTTCATTCAGTTAACTTGGGTTACACCACAATAACATAAAAAAATATCACTTTTCCAAGAAATGATTTGATGTTTCATAGAATGAATACAAAGAATTCAGCAGCCATTAATCACAATACACATACCTTGTGTTCACTATCACATGCTGTGCGAATGTCGTAGTAGTCTTGCTCTGTGCATGGCTTCCTTAATGTACAATTCCTTGCTCCACGAGCTTTTGAAAAAAAATAACACAGAATTTTGCATTCAGCTGGTGTGAAAAATATATTCCTTCCCAAGAACATAGCTTATATAATACATTAAATTACTTCAAGTTAAAAATTATGTTAATTTTGGAATTGTTCATAAAAAGTTATTTTATTCATAATTACATGACACTGTATTTTATTCACTGTACACAAACCACTCAAAACGATGGATTAAAATTTCAAGTTTTTACGCATTCAACAAGGTCTGTCAAATGATGAAAACAAGTCTTTAAGAATCATATCATCTATTGCCTATTTTCATTAAAAGAGAATAAAATATCACAAATACATCTATGGGAGTCTTACCAGCATATTCAGTGACCTCATTACATTTTGAGCACTCTGTAGCACCAGGGGCAGAAAAGGTATTTGCAGGACACATTTTACAACTGAAAACACAAGAAAATACAATAAAATTAGGCTCAAAAGGCCAGAAATCAATACCAGAAATTATGTATGTATTTTGGTAAACACTTGATTAACAAATGTTACTACAAGTGAATTAACTTTGAAAGACACAGAACTTAACCAACAAAATTCATCATTTTCTGAAGGAATTGCCAATAACATCCCTTTTGACTTATGACAAGATCAAAAATGAATTTCTCCTAACCATGTAAATACATTTTCAAACAGAGAGGTAGTGAGAAGTGAGAAGAATATCAACTAGGGGATGTTGTTTGATTTAGAGTCAAAATCTCAAAGCTAAAACCACTAGGAATGTAAAAGAGACAGCACAGAATTCATTTTGATAATTAAATCTTGGAAATGAAAATGTCTTTTTTAGTAAATGTTTGTGGGGTATGTCAAGGAATTTGTGGTAGGTACACTTGTGAAAAATCACCGGCATGTACGCTGCAGAGGGCAGAGTTTGAAACCAAAATTTCATGACTAAGCTGTTCAAAACCCAGTCAGTACAAATTGTGGCAGGCACGTTTCTGCAGCTCAAGCTTAACTTATTTCTCATAACTTGGGCCTGAACTAAAATTATCCACCTTGAGAAAACCATGCTGGAACTAAAGAATGTTAGAATTAGAATTTCACATTGATTGTATTTTTACCTTCCTTGGGCTTCCTCACTGTTGTAATATCCTGCTTCACATGGTGTGCACTCTGATGTATAAGACACCCCTAACAACAACAACAAAAAATGAAACAACCTCGGAAAGATAAGAAAATGGCAAGGCTTAGGTTACATGGCAACATGAGTAAAAAGTCCAATGATAATTTCCAATATACAGTCAAGGCATACAGTCTTAACCCTTTAAACCCTAAGAGTGCCAAGCATCTAATTTCTCCCTACAATATCACTCCTGAATCACACATTTAAGGTCATGAGAATTAAGGAAATGGTCAGCAGGGAAGAAACCGTTTGATTGGTTAACAAATTCTCCTTGTAGGCACCTTAGTAAATGTATAAAGAACTGTGTAGAGAATATGCATACTGATGTTAGGGTATAAAGGGTTCACATAACTAATCTCAAGATTATCTTGTGATTAACAGAAAACCTCCCTTGAATTAAGTAGCATTTTTTTAAGCAAACAAGTGCAGAGAACAGTATATGCTTCCTGACAGAGTGGGAGGACCAAACAGGAAAATATTTTGTTCAAGATGACATCCTCTTATATGTAGTCCAGTGAGGTTCCTGCATCATGACCAGGAGCCAAATATTTTTGCATCCCACTCAATCAAACTCAGTCATAAGTCAACTACTCATATCAACACTGTAATATCAACTAACAGATACTAATTGATTTATATGTACTAGTAACAACTGGCAGGGACCTGCTATGTAGATCTTAACAGTAAAATGGTTAGGGTGTATAAACAAAACTATTAACTGTACAATAAAATAATAAAACTTAAGTCAGACCTTGAATTTCAATGCTTCTGATGTAAACAGGTTCTCGTCTGTCATGAGAGCCATAGGTGATTGCTGTAACTTGCCAATTTATGACATTCCTACCAGCTTTCAAATCAATCTGTAAATTAAAATGATACACGAAACATTTCTTCAAGAGGAATTTGTTGTATCTTAACCCTTAAGCTGTGATTTAGCAATGTCTTGGACAATTGGGACTTTAGCATGTATGTGGATTCCAAATCAGATATATTTTGTCATTACTATGAAACAAAATTTTTTTAAAAGATATTTTGGTTTAGTCAACTGAGTTGATAGGTAAATTGGCCACAATAAAGAGTTTCTTAAACTTATGTTTAGAGTGTTAGCCCCTCATCAGAGCAAATAGAGAAAATGTGGGTTGTCACAATTATTATAAATTGGTTAAAGGAAAAGCAACAATCGGCTCTGCCAGGGTAAGAGTGCCAATTTGAAAGATAAATGGTTGTTGTGGAGTTTTGTGGCTTTCAAACTGCCTAAATTTAGGCAAAGGCTGCAGACTGCCATACACTGTATACTGTTTAGAATGATTTGGGAGATAAATAATGTTTTATAATAATAAATAAACCAAACGTTACATTCTGTACGTTAATTAAGAAAAGATAGTAAATTTTGAGCTCAGTCAGGAGCATGGAAAAAACAAAACTTTTGAGTTCTCAAAAAGGGCCTGAACTCCTAACCTTTGCACATCTTTCCTAAAATGTTACCTTGGTTGTTCCCCATTCACTGTTTGTAGTACGTGGAGGGAACTTATCCTCTTTATCCAGACTAGAAACTTTGCACTGATCATTTCTTACCTGAAAAATAAAAATTAATTGATGCTTATTTATTTAAAAATTCATTTGCAATATTCACACAGGCTGGCCAAGTTTAGCTTTAAAGCTGGTTTAAATGGGGGCCCATATGAATTATAACAAAGCCTGACCACAACACTACTGGGGGCTACCTTTCCTTCTACATACATGTATGTGTGGGTTCTTGAATTTCCCCTGCTCACCAGTAAAGAGAAGATGGAGGAAAATGCCTGAACCATTAAAAATTTCTGTTATTATATTCTATTATTTTATTCACCTAACAATATAAAATAATGAAATACACACCTGTTACTAAACGACAGACAAATAAATAAATAAATAAATAATCACATATTCAATACATCAAATGCATTTAAGATTCCTTGACTCCCTTTGTTGGTTAAATAATATAGGCATACAATAAAAACACTATTACAAAGCAGCCCATCTTGCCTGCTCAGGATTGCCCACTTTGATACCATACAAGAAAAAAAAATTATTGAAGTGGGCCATTAAAACGTGATTCAGCAATCTTGACCCCACACTTGGTCAATAATGCATAAATACACCTATTACAGTTATTAATAATATTGACACAGATTATTAGCCATTCTTCAATTCCAAATTCACAAAGGGTATTAAGAAAAAATACTTACAAATACACGGAAAACAGTATAGATGTCATCAGTGTAGTAATAATCAAATTGCACATGACCATCTCTTTCTAGCTGTATCCATAAAAAAATAAAGATAATTTTTAAGATGTGTTATTAACAGTAGTTTTGTATATAAATATTCTGAAAGAAACCTTGAGTTAAAAGCAGGAAATATTATACCCTGAATCATTTTAGCACAACGAACCCAGATAGGTGTTATAATTTAATTAAACACACAAAAAGATTATTTGAAACTCACAGTGACGGCATATGACAGTTCTGAGGTGCATTCATCTTCTGGTGACATGATACTGTCACCTGATGGTAACCATCCAGTCCTATAATAAAAACAAAACGAGATTCACAAATTAGACATAACTTAAGCAAGTTTTTTAAGAACAAGAATTGGCCCATAGTAAATTGTTTGAACCTGGGTATTTTTCAATCATGGAGTCTAATTGACTAGGTGAGGGTAGTCCTAAGAGGAGTAAGTTTCTAAGGAAACTGTGGTGCTGCCTCTGTGAGGGGTATTACAACCCACAGGAAATTTGCTGTTGTCCATGCTTGTGGCATGATGAATTTGAACCTTACCTAGCTGGGGTGGGGAATTTGATCTTGAAGTGTCCAGTCTTTCCAGCAGAATACAAGAATTACATCTTTAAATATGGAGAAGTTTAAGGTACAAAGTTCACTTTTACAAGTGAACAATGCAGAAGAGTGTATCTACCAGGTCTAAGTTTTAACACATGGTTTATGTGTAAAAAGTCAGGGTCACTGATTTCACCTTTCAAAAAAAAAATTAGGTAGGGCATGTGAACTCAATTTTTTGCCAAGGAGGGCAAGAATTTGAACTACTGTAACAAACTTTCAAAAGTTCAAATGTCCAAGGCTTTGTTGGAAGCCAACATTAAAGTCATCAGAGAGGAATGAGAAGCTGAAAGGGTGACAAATCCTCTGAACCTCAGAGCAAAGCAAAGCAAAACTAAGGCAATCCTAGATGACCTTGATATGTACTACTCAATGCAAATTTCCCTATATAACAACTTGCTGGGAGACAGACAAACAAAAATTATTTTATCTCCTTACTTTGAGCAGTTAGCTCCACTTGTTTCTTTGAAGTATTCATTGTCATATCCATATTCCTGATAATGCTCATCTACTGTGCGACTCTCAAATCCAGTTGGAAGTTTATCCCAGTCGCTGAAGCGCACCCCTCCTCCAACACTGTATGTTCCTTTAGCACAAGCTTTACACTCCAGGGTCTTACTAGTCACATCAACATAATGCCCTGGATCACATGTGAAAGCTAAGGAAAGAGAAAAGACCTTTGACAGTAAGACATCTAGTCCAAGACTTTTCGCGGTTGAACACCATGTTTTCTAGAGATTTTTAAAAAGCTGGCCACTTAAAATAACTATAGCTGCCTGTAAACAAGTGAGTGCCCTAAGGGCATGAGAATCTATTCCTCTTTATTTAAAAAATGGTTGTCTTTCTAGTATTAATCAGTCTTTCCAAGCATAAAAGAAAGAAAGAAAAGGTCACAATTTAGTTCAGTTTTACTTTTTTGTCTTATTTAAATAGCTGACTATCAGAGGCCTCTCAATTCTTAACTTATTGCATGTATATGTTGTGGTTCAATTTTATCCTTGGTTCAAATTTTATTTTCTTTTGTTTTTGGGTAACATAATGTATGATAATGAGTTTGAACAAAGGTTCAGATAAAAATTTGAAATTAAAATTTTTATCCTTGGTTCAAATAAAATTTGATCCAAGGATATAATTGAACATAAATATATAAAATTAGGCCTTGTAAAATTTATGATTAAGAAAATCTTGCTAACTACTGAGGGTGGTAAACTCATGAGCAACTTTGCTATCCACATCCCAGGTATAAAATTTAGAGTCCTCACACCATGAAAGTGGCACATAACCTGCTGGCCAGCAAACTTAAAAAGTGTCTTGGCATGGGGCTTCTTATGCTCTCTCATTTAATCGAGACAAAACCAAGACAGCTGACAATGCGCAAAGCAGATTCATAACGCCTTCTACATTTTTCAGGTAATGTACACTTGCTTTCAAATTAAACAAGATTTTGCAAACCTAGTTCTTTTGTAATCCAATCACTCCATTTCCTGGAGGTAATTAAAAGATAAAATCCATCCTACCAAGTCTCTTTTAAGGTGACTGCACATTGGAAATTGTTTATCAGTGACAACAAACAGTGACAAACAACATCAGTGACAATCAAACATAATGGATATATGCAAGTTTTGGGCACAACAGTAATAACGAAAAAGGTGACAAAATCATTGCCTTCTCTCCTTCCTGTTACTCTGTAAAGCCCCTTCTCCAGACTTCAAGGCAGTAAAATTATCATTGAGTATTTATGTAAACATAGGCTTTCAATGACAGAAGAAAATACTCCACTCTTAAATCGACATTATGTGATGAGAACAGTTTTTTTGAGACAAGGTCTGGTTGGTAGTTTGGGAAACAGGGATACTTATGTCATAAATTGGAGCCTCAGAAGAGTTGATTCACTGCAAAATTTGCATCAAGTAAGTGGACTGTTGCCTTCGGCGGAAGCGTTCTTTATTTTGTCATATACTGTTTAGCTTCACCGCAAGTGCTCGCGTAACAACGAAAGACAATATTTTATAAGTAGGATTTCCTGTTGAGTATCTGATTTCTAGTTGGGATGTATCAAAGCCGATACATTCTCAAAATCTTCCCAAATTCCAACTTCTAGAATACATTTTGATCACATTGATTTAACATCAACTTATTAAAATGCAGTTTACTGACCATGCTATTCTAATTCCAATTAAAATGTATAGCCTTGAAGAAACGATCCCTTAAATAAACAAGGAATTAACGATGCAGTTTCAAATCTTTTCCAGCCCATATCTAACCAGCAGGCAGCAGTTTTTATTTTACAAATTTACTACGCCTTAATGTGGAGTTCCGAACGTTTAGAGGGCAGCATTTAGGTTTTACGACATACGTGATATAATTTATGTAAAAATAATTCGGTATTGCGTGAATTTTCTCGCACAGTAAGGGCTTTTATCAAGGTTATCCTCAAAATCCACAGATAACAGGAGTGCAATCTTTCACTTCTCGTAGTTAAACATTTAGAATCTGTTTCTAGTGTAAAGGACTTGCTTGCAAAGGAAGAAAATTATTCACACAACAAAAGAAAGGACGATAAACTGTGGAGACGCGTGAGATGAAGTAAATCGCCCTAATCATCAGAAAGTGAGCTTAGAAAAATTTTCCGCTTTTCCAGGGTTGAACACATCCCGATCTGTAAGATAATCCACGTCCTTTTCGTCCTTGTACACATAGATTGTCGGAAAGGCTGAAAGGAGGCTGTATGTCACAAAATTTTTCAACCCAGTTCAGAAAAGCTTTGTTCACGTTTGGAATACTTATTGTTCGTAAGTGCATTAATGCCAAGTAGCGTCAAGATAACCCGGCAGGTTTCTAGTGAATTTTCATGCCATAAAAATAGAGAATTAATATAACGCTTTCGTTTTCCAATATTAAGCATCGTACTAGAGTTGAATTCTACTTACAACACCCCTTTTGCCGCACGGGTACTTCGCCTTCAACAGTGCAGTCTCCATCTTTTTTAGGAACAGCAACTCGCCATCTTCCTTCGGCCGAATCGCATTCGGTAAAATCGTAAGTGATTTGATCCTACAAACAAAACGAATTAAATAAAAAATATAAACCGAAAAAAGAATTAATTCGATAATCATCACCTGCACTGTTAGGTGTTCGGCAGAAAACCTGAAAGAGCTGAGCTAAAGAACAATGATCTAGCATAATTAAAACTGGGCGCCGAATTCCACCAAGAAAGTTTACCTGTGTGCATTTTTCGCCGTGTAAGTACAAAGGCAGAATAGCCAAGCTAACAAGCAGCAACATGTATCTGCTCTTCATCCTTCAAGAGAGTGAATCTTTATCACTTTAAAAAATGTCGATTGACGCCAGGTACAAGGCGAATCTTCTCTCGAATTGCGGTCGTAAAGAAGTCTTCTTGCCGGGAGTGTATGCTTTTCAAATTCAAATGAGGAACACTTGGATGGTTCCTTGAATCCAGCCCTCCGCAGCGCTTCAAGGACGACATCGCCATGGTAACTATCATACTCCTCGATTGACTCCTCGTTCAAAGATCATCTCAGCGAATATTTGATTACGTTTCCACGTGTCACTTCCTGTTTTAATTCCAATGTAAGAGGGAAATTGCAGCGTAAATTTTTTTCACAACTTCGCTGATCACGATCCCAAAGATAACATTAATTTTAGAATCACCCGATGATAAAAAATATAAAATTTAATCAAAACTGATTATTACTAAGGCAGCCGTGCCTGTCTCAAAACATTTTCTGTTTTTATTTGCATGAAAATTATCAATTTGGTCATGAAACATTCGTCAAAATCGTTTCGTTACGTTTGTCCTCTGGAATATGTTTGAACAGTAGGCTTATGATAAAAGTAAATTGCAAGAACTCAATGATTTTCAAAACTAAAATGTTCTAAATTCGCGCACAACTGATTTCACCCATCCCCCCCCCCTCCCTTACCCCTCGAGAAAAATCCTAAGAAATGAGGAAGAAAGAATTACGCTGTCATAAAATTTCGGAAGTCTTCGGCAACCCATCATTGATTTCCTAGGAATAAATGACTAGTCCACAAAATTTGTGTTCGGTTGATATGCGCTTAAGCTATACCGACTTGTAAAATCAGTAAACTTCACGCCCTTTCATATTTTAAACATGAAACCTTTAGCGTCATAAAGTGGGCGGCCAAGTGCAGTATATTCGCCCTGGCTCCCAATACCTAGTGCCCAGTCTATTGTGCATTTCCAGTCTGTCCCTTTTAAGGAACCTCTGCCTTCTGAGAAAATTTCCGAACTGGAAGGGGAAGTTTTCGCGTAAGAGTGGATAAGGAACTACATACCACTGCGTCAGAGGACTATCAAGGCAGAGATCACGAAGGACAAAGTAGGTGTAGTACCCCTGCACAGCCCAAACCTCTAACAGTGTGTGGAAAGGTTCTTTTATGTGACAGATGTGAAGGAGACGATTAATCTATTAATTCTATGGCCGGAAGAGATTTTTTGTCCAAAAATAACCTTTTTGGGGCCCAAATATACAAAAATTACATACCAGCGGAGAGGAGGGTGATTAGTAAATTTTTTACAAATTGGGGAGGGTCAAACCTGTTTTATTCGCAACCGGGGGAGGGTCACAGATTTTTTTGGCAAGGAAAAAATTACTCCATGTCGCTTAGTTGACTCTTATTTGTTAAAAAACACGCGAAGTGTGTAGAAACCTAAAACTTGTATATACAAGCAAGGCTACCAGTCAAGATTAATTTAAATTATTAACAGGTGTCGAAATATTATATCAAAAAGCTATCTTCTCCTAACTAACATAATCGTCTCTCTCGACCCGTGCCCGCCTTCGTCCATATTTTGACGGCGGTAATATTCCGCGTGGGGTTCTGGTATAAAATCAGTCTCCAGTGACGATTCGTCACTTAAGCTACTCGGGCTTGAACCGACAGCTTGATCTGCTGCATCACTTTGCGAGTCAGTTTCAGCCTCGGAAAGTGACGAGATCACTTGTCGCTGCATATTTCTTAGCAGGGGCTGCCGAGGTTGTTGACACTCCATTGAATCGTACAGCAAGCTGGCAATGTGCGCTTTGATCATTGCGACCTTCTCAGCTTTCTTCCCTTTGAAGGTGATCTTGTGATGGGAAAAGTACAAGGATAGCTCGTCCACCCTCAAGGACGACAGCTTATCGGAGTTGTACAGTCCAACCCAGTCAATGTCGTTGTGCTCCCGGTTCAGCCGTTCCATTCGCTCCCTTTCAGTCTCCTCTTTCTTCTTCCCCTTGCGCATTTTTATCTGGGTAAGGTGCTCAACATACTCTGCCACAAGCTTTTTGGGGACAATGTGTTTATCTGAAAACTTCCTAATAGCCTCACTGTCCCCACTGACTGGTTCACTTTCCTCAAACAATTGCTTAATCTGAGCTCGAGGCTGAAAGTCTTCCGGCTCACGGCCATTGGTGGGGGTTGCACTCCAGGAGAGATAATGGAAGTTTGGTAGCTTGCCATCGTCGGGATATGGTCGTCGATTTGGAAGTGGACCGCTGGTAGTCTCATCCTTCTCGCAAAATTTACATAGTTGGCCATTTCGCTCTTGACACGACATTCGCTTATACTCCATATATGGCTCTCCTTTCCCACAAGGGAGGCTCTCAAATTGTTCTGGCTTGAAAAAAATACCCATGCCTCGGAACAGAACTCTTTTGATTGTTGGTGACTCCAAGATACTCACGGTTGTAGAAAAATTGATTTTCTGGTCGGTCGACCAAAATCGCTGAAATATACCCCTGTGGCATTGGGGAGTCGTCAATTCGAAGACACACTTCCTAAGCAACAGCTCACGCATTTTTTCCCATGACTTTACAGCTGTGTACGTCTAGCTCTGACGTTGAAAGAGACTGAACTTCCTCTTCAGAAAGTCTATGCAGACGCGGTTATGTGAGTAACACTTCCGGTTATTTTTGTCATGGAGGAAGTGGGAGAAGGGTCAGATGTTTTCGTGTTGGTATTTGTGAAGGGTCATGCATTAATCCATTATGGGAAGTGGGAGGGCCACGTTTTTTTTCGCAAAAAATTTCTAAATTCCCCTCCCAATAAAAAACGTACCTTCTCTAATGTGTCTTTGCGCGTGTAACAGAAGGAAATAAAGTATAGTTTAAAATCAGGCTTTGAAACTAATCATGAATCATTGTTAAGGTCTTAGAAGTACGCCTCAGTTAAAGGAAGACCGAATAGGCCTCAAAATGGTTAATAATTTATATCAAATGATGAAAAACTTAATCTTAACTTAAACTCATCGAAGAAATATCTTCCTGATTACCGTCAGCCCTACAACTTAATCGTCAGCCCTCAAAGACTCCTACATTTGACCGTCTGCCGTCAAAATCGGTAAAAAAAAAAATTGAGACCCTCTTTGAAAGGGCCTCCTGTCATAAAATCAAAACAGATTTGGCGGACGAACATATGGATATGTTTTTAATGCTGTTGACTTATTTAATCGCTTGTTTGGAGCTTAATATTGCGCTATTTAAACTTTTGTTGATAACCATTTGAACAAAAATATCCATTCTAAGAACATTTGTTCTCTCTAACGGTTCGCAACGTAAGACTCAGACAAGTAAGCCATATCAAAGGCCGAGGAACAAGGCTGAGAAGGTTGTGTTTGTTCACAATTTAGCGCCCGCGCGAAATGGCACAAACACCGCGGGCTCCGTTCCTTCAGACGTGCGCACATTGACGAGTATGTCACATTATGTCATGCATGTGTTTTCGAGTGTTTTAGTATGGACAGTCAAAAACGCTATGAAAACGCTTGTGCAAGTGTGCACGTAATGAAAGCGATGCGCTTTTGATAAGACGAAAACGGAGCATTTCGAATACCCGTTTATGTAGACGGGGCCTGAGAATGATAATTCATGCTTTTGATCGTAAAAACTGTTCCTTAAGGAAAATGACTGACAGTTTGGAAAAGCCTGATATTTTCTTTTTTAATTCAGTTCGTCTGAAACGAGATGTATCTAAAAAAAAAACACTCTGGAATCTTTTTAACAGCTACCTTATTGTCTTTTCTTTTAGCCTAAGGCGTCTAAGGTGTTTGGACACTAACACTGCAAATTTGTCGAGGGCTCGGCGCGACCTATAAATCAAAAGGAAGCGCACGGGGGGAGGGGGCCATGAGAATAGACAGAAACGTGGAGAACTTCTCTATTTTCTCCTTACTTTGCTGTTGGAAGAAATAAGAAAAACAGGAGAAAACACCCAAAGAAAACATTGAGTACAGGGAAAAGAGCGCGTAACTTGATATTAGTCTCGTACCCAGACCTTTACCTTGTACCTTGAACCTTTCAGGTACAGTTTAATAGCTAAAATTTTACTTTGCTTGATGTTCATGTAGATATTATTGACACACCAGGATTTCATCCGTATTTTTCAGCGGTGATCCTTAATCTTGAGTCACAAACGTAGTTTAGGTTGAACGAGCAGCCTTTGATATGAAATTAATTTCCTAATTCTCTGAGAAAAGATTATTTTTCAAACGCAGAAATTGCGTATTCTTTGTCGAAATCTACTATCGAGAGCCAAACCAAAGGAAGAGTTAAAATTCTGTCTTCGAGGAATTTCTTACAGGAATAGTTATTTCCTAGAGATTTGATAAGCTAACACAGACAGGCCTACCTTTGTGCGGGAATGAGTAAATCGTAATTTTCTCTTCCTCTTACTTTGATTAACTCTAGTTTGCACTTTATCGGACGAAACCATCGGAAATTAGACGAACCATCCACAATCAGACGGTACCACTAGTATCCAGAATGAACCACGCTTAGCGAAACTGACCGTCCGAAATCGTGCGAAACCCTCGGAGCGGAGACAATATAATTTTCCAAATCATTCTAAGCAACATATGGTAGTCTGCGCCCTTTCCCTGCAAATAGGCAGTTCAGAAAGCTGCAAAACTCCAGAAAAAATCTATCTTTCAAATCTACTCTTAAGCCCCACGGTATCAACCATTGGCAAACCACACCATGTGTTCGTGGTTATTGACATAAGACGAACAAAATCTACGACGGTTATGAATAAAACTCAGAAAGTTTCTCTTGTACCTACCTCACGATGTAATAAACCAAAACAATGATTTCAAATTCTTAAGTCTTTATTTTAAACGTGTATGTTATTGCATTTTCGAAGAGTGTTAGTTTTGTTACATTTACACTGTATATACACCTCAAACAAGCTGAACTTTTAACAGATCCCGAATCACAGATGAAATGTTAGACGGAAGACACAGATAACAGCAGTAAATTTCACTTTAACCCAGAATTACTGTAAAAACCTCAAGGTGCTAAGATAGTATCATGCTCTTTGAAATATAAAACGGTTTTCACTCGCTGTAGCCAAGTTACTCTTATATGAACTCATCGATAAACTATCCAAATAACCAGTTCAGTTTCTGGGGAGTTTACCATCGCACAATCTCCAATACTATTGGCAAGGATAGCTGTTGCAAACCATGCCAGGAACCATAAGATTCTGAGGATTGGACATGTCTACGTTAAGAAATCACAAAAAGTATCCAAAACACGTCCGAGCCTTTAATTAAAGGCATTGAGTCCACCATCCCACAAGATGACATTTCACAATCTCGTTAGCGCTGTTCCTCTTGTCATTAGCATTTACATGGCTCTTACAGCTCATTTTCAGCGGTTGGTTACCATAGCAACGGACTAAGGATACTGACCCATCTCCCGTCTCCTCCTACCCGTTGGATCAATAGGCCCAGTCTCTGTAACCTTATGTGTTTCACTCTTTTCTCTGCCGACTCTTCAAGTCAACCCTTTATTCCCCCACCTGATTACCAAGTAAATTTTCCTTTCTATAATCATACCGTATCTGTAACACAGTTGATGAGAAAAGATAAACTCACATGTATCAGCTGAAGGGTGTCATCTCGGTATGACACCAAATTCTCCCTTCTCAGTTGCAAGAAAAATTTACGGCGACTGAAAGGGAGAATTATGCATCACATCTTGACAGTAACAGGGTTTAAGACTGTCACCAACTAACAGAGTTGTCACCTTGATGATAACAACAGTTAACAACCGAAACAAAAGAGCAACCATTTCACAACACTTAAAAAAATGCTGAAATCTCCGTTACATAAGCCATTGTGTACCTAAGCAAATCTGTCACTTTTGAATTTCAAGTAGAGTTAAAATCCTATGCCTGACTATACTGAAAAAAAAAAGAAAGAAAAACAGAAAATAAAACAATGTCTACAATAGATGATAAAATGAAATATTACCAATTCTGTCCTTAACCTTTTCAACCCTAACATCAGTATCCATATTCTCCATACTGTTCTCCATACATCTCTTAAGGTGCTGATGAGGAGAAATTGTTTAGTGATGAAGAGCTCCTATACTTGGTGATCAGTTCCTTTATTCTCATGACCTTCATATGTGATTCAGGGGTGATATGGTGTGGAGAAGTTAGATGCTAGCCACTTTTAGGGATCGAGGGCTGGACAAGGAATTAGGCAAAATTTCAATCGAATGAGTCTATAATAATCATCACTGAAAGATGAGAAAAGTAATCACTATACATTAACTACATACATCACTATGTTTTTTCCTAGAAAGGGTTATTTAAATGGAGAGAACTTTTAAAGGATCTTCTAAAGTTCCTTCCAAACAAACCAAATTCATTTAACAGTTCATTTTGCATTGTAAATCAAGTGTCACACTTGAATTGAAAATATTTACCACACTGAAAATCCTAGTTACCCAATTTTCAAACCATAACCCAATTTACAAACAATAACTATATCTGCACTAAAATAACAATTATTGCATAACACATCTAAACAGTTTTTCACATAGTCTTCTATGAGAATCGTCTCTGTAAAACTGCTACGATTTGCAATCATCATCACTGCTCTTGTCTTTCCCTGCAGCACCCTTTCTAAGTTTGTCGAAGTATTCTCTTTGAGACTCTGCTAAGACAGCTGCCAGAATACTTTCGTCTTCCCATTTGGAAAAACCTGCAAAACCAAGAGGTGCAATGGAAAGATTACCACCTCAAAACAAACAGAATTTTAATCAATATGCACCATATGGTTACCAGGAAAATTCTCCCCCCAGCTCTTATTTGACAGATGAACCCCATAGTTCTGTATTAAAGAACAATGAAAAGTAATGATTGGCAATCACCAAGCCAGTTCTCACAAAATTTCCCTAGACTATGCACAAACACATTGAGGATCCACTATGTTTGTTCTCTCTCAGGCTTTATTTCTTTCTTTCTTTTTTCTTTTTTTTTTTTTTGGGGGGGGGGGG